ACAGGAAAGGCTGTCGCCATCTATAATGGTGCGATTTACTTCCGGTCGGAGTTCGTGAATCAAAAACGTCGCTTAGATAGATAGATAGATAGATTGTTTGTTTAATAAGATTAACACATAGCAGCCAATAAGGCTGAATTGCGTGCTAAATTTTACAAGAGAAATGATTAAAATTAGTTATTCTATATTTACAGAAGTTTAAAATTACATTACAATTTATAATTCTATATTACAGAAGTTTAAAGTTACATTACCAATTAGCTATGAAACTAGTAAATTTCTAAAAAAATGTTAGCCAGTCTAAAACTGAATATCAGAATCGATTGTCAGTTAATATTATTGATATGCCTTGCAGATGAAGGGAAAAAGCTGTTTCTAAATCTGTTCGTTTTGGTCTGAGGAACAACAAAAGACCTTGAGTGTCTAAGGTCGTAATTTGGAAAGTATCTAGATGGTACATGATTATGCATATTAGCTACTGGTGTTGTGGTGATTTCATTAAACAGTTTCTCGCATGCATCCACACGCCTGTCACTTAATGGTTTGATGCCCGATTTTTGTAAACAATCCGCATAACCTGTCAGTGGATAGATGATTGATAAAACACGCTTTTGAACCCGTTCCAGGGCATTAGATAAGTAGGAAGGAAGGGCGAAGTGGAAAACTTGACAGCTGAATTCTATGACTGGTCTGACGCAGGTAGTGTAAAAATTTATTATGTCAGCTTCAGGTACATGAGCACGTTTCAACTGAATAATAAAATAAATCCGTTTGTTCGCCTTCTTAACTATGTTAGTTATGTGTTGGTTCCATTTTAGATCTTTAGAAATTGTCAAACCTAGGATTCTTGCGTGGTTCACTGTCTCGATTTGGCATGAGATGATCTTAAGGCGCGGAAATTCTTTCTCAGGTTTTGTAAAACTGATAACAAGTTCCTTGCACTTGGAGGCATTTAATTGCATCTTGTTTTCTACAGACCAATTTTGAACACAATCGACTGTATCTTGAATTTTACTGGGTGTGTTGATGTAAATGATTTCAGATACCGTAGCATCATCGATGTATTTCCATCGCTCATGATGTGGGGGCGTAGGTCATTTATCATTAGGATGAATAACCAAGGTTCCAATTTGGTTCCTTGAGGGACACCGGAAGGAATGTCAATCCATTCAGACATACAGTCTCTTGCAAGTTTCACCCGTTGTTGCCTGTTCATCAGAAAGTCAATTACCCACCGCTTAATGAATATAAAACGTACACTTAAAATTAACACTGCTTGTTGTTCATAGACAGTCATATTCTATTATATATATATATATATATATATATATATATATATATATATATATATATTATATATATATAAATCTTATATATATATATATATATATATATATATATATATATATATATATATATATATATATATATATATATATATATATATATATATATATATACAGTGTCACACAGTAATCAGTGTAACAAGCTGTTTGAAAAATGTATATATGTGTAATGTCAACTTGGGCAAGGTGTAAATATTGTATATTCTATTATATGTATATTTGAAGGGCTTGGGGAAGGTTATAATTTCATTCTACATTTATATACAGTGAAATAGTAATGTGTAAGCACACACATGAATGGACCTTGGCTACGTGTTAGCCTTTTAGTAAATAAAACGGGATTATAAGTCGCACAATTTAAAGTATAAAAATGACAGCAAGTGAATGTCATGTAATAGCGCCGCCTAATAATATTTTTATTCAATGGCAGTGTTAGGGCAGTTATATACAGAAGCACCAAAATTTCCAAAAGTTTCACGCGAAAGACCTGGCGAAAGACGGCAAACAGCCTCCTATCATACATACGTATTGAATGCTGATTAAAAAATTCCATTGCTAAAAATTCGAACGGGTGAAAACATATCCATTTCACAAATCTAAGGCTGGTATACCGCTTTAATTTAGGGTATTATAATTAGTTGCCGTAGTAATCATGTGTATCTAAAATGCTCCGTCGTCCGCCGTCCGTCGTCCGCTTTTTATCCGTCCGCCTTTTATCTACACCCCGTGCGTTCACTGCACTTAGAATTACTTACTCATTGACCTTTTGGCTAAGCACTTTGAACTCGCCTTTTTATTATAAACATGTTTTCACGAGCTTCATCGGGCCTTGAACGCCCTTCAATCTTCATGGCCTTGTTTGAGGGGTGATTACCGCCATAATTCAACTAACCTGCGAGCTATGCAATTAAAGTATTAAGCAAGACATATGTGTATTGCTTTATATAAGTGCAATTTAAATAATCAGTCAAATCTTGGTCAAATTTAATTAGTGGAATCACGTACCAAACCGGACATTCACTTCCCTGTGATATTGGATACCGAGTTGAATAAGTTACTGAATCTTCAAGTACTACGTTGGGGGTTAGTTTGTCAAAAACATCGCTCAGGAGACCAGTCAAAACGCGTGAACCAGGCTTTCATTTTCAATTCTAAGACACAGGAGTCAAGACTCAAACTAGTTGGCTACTAAAAAAGCTTTCTACAAAGTCCTCGAAGATATGGAATCTAACGACAGAGCTATTTTGAAGGCAAGCTTCCGCAAGGACGAATTTTCTTTCATAATGGAAGTTGACAAAGTCGAGTTATCCTTATCAGACCAATGTCTGTATTACTGTATGAAATGCATCGAACAAAGTACTGACAACATACTTGGATATCGTATTGACTTTGACTTCAAAGCTAGTCGAGTTGTGGGAGATATTTACGTTGATAGGGCGATGAAAATATGCAACGTCTGTAAATTATTTCAAATTATGAACCCAGGCCTATTCGACCATCTACAAGACAAATTACAAGATAGTTTACGGACGAAAAGCTCCGTGTGCAATGCCCTTAGCAGTATGCAGGCTTTCATGTTTCAGGACAGCATTTCATGGGCTAAAATCATTGCGTTGTTTGCTTTTACTGGCGCGCTGGTTGTCGAGTGCATTTTACGAGGAAATTGCGATTATGTGGTGAATATAATGTACTCTGTGAAACAATTCATGGAGAACGAGCTGGTTGCGTGGATTACCAAAAACAATGGATGGGTAAGGCTCCCGTTTACATGAGATCGGAACGAAGTCAAACAAGGACCATTTCATTTCGGCCATAGTATTATTTATAATAGATGTTTACATTAGACGGGAACGAAGTCAAACCGGGACCATTTCGTTTCGGTGATAGTATTATTTATATAGAGAATAATACATGCATGCCATGGGTGCGCGGAAATACCAGATTTATTTCGAGTGTTGAACATGATAGGTGGGACGAGATTATCCTTCGAAATACTTTTGTTCCAATTAAACAAACAGCAGCTTGTATTAAGACTTCGTTAGAGTCTGTTTAGCCTTTAGGGCTATTAATGCTTATTGTTTGTTTAATTTTCTAACTATGCCGTTCAACACTATATAGGTCAAAACTTCGTATGGATAATTTTATCTCACCTAGCCAGGCTGGCTCGTTTCTGATATGAACACGAACTGAATTTTATGTGCGTTATAACAAAAGGCAAGCTGGGCTCATATGAACAGGCCCTTATAGGCGTGTATCGGTGTGCGATAGTTGGTTTTCCAATGGCGAAAAATGCCCCTTCTTTTTGAAGGCTTTTAGTATTACAGGATGCAAAAATATGCAATGATCGCTTCTGTTTTGCTCCGATGTTAAAATCTTATGTGCATTGCCATTGTACTGTTATTAAATCGAGGTGACCGATTGATCTCAGTTCGTGATAAGCTTGACATCCTGATGTAAAACTGGACCAAATTCATCAAACGAGACTGAGAATTGTCTAGCGACGTTTTGCATGGTAGGTTCCAGTCCCTGCTCTCATGCTTCGGTCAATTGGTCAAAGCACAACAAGAGTTAATGCACGAGAAATTGACCAGTTTAATTTAGCCCGTATCCAAAACTCAATCGAGTGTATATTATATAGTTATGCATACATTAAAAAGTCTAAAGTAGACTCATTGACATCCGTACAGCATTGGACGCATAAAAAAGTCAACAAGGATTTTCTTGGCATCTGAGTATCTGACTCGATTGAACCACATGCAGTGATTGAACTAATGTCGAAAGCCCATTTTCCACTAATAGGCGAATTTGTTCGCGCGAAGCGAAAAACAAACCTTGGGCCTTGGCAATGTGATTGGTCAGCGAAAAAATTCGCCACGAAAGTTGGACCAGTTCCTACTTTTTTACAAATTCGCCTAGTGGAAAATGGGCTGAAGGGTTCTGTTGATTCTGTACCTATGGTAGACCGAACCAGCTGCGAAAAAGTACAGTATAGACCAGGGCACTTGGTATAGACCCTCTGGCAAGACCGCGATCTTTACGCTCCAGGGGGGGGGCAATGGGGGCATGTGCCCCCCCCCCACACTTTTTTTAAAAGTCAAAATAGTGCCCTTTTTTCTGGTACCCTCTTATTTCTTGAATAAACGCCCTCTTTTTGTGGAACGAAAGTGCCCTTTAATTTTCGCAGTAGTAAAGACTCTGTAAAGGCCATTTCCGACGTTAGAGACTCCATATTTTCAAAAAATTTCGTTCAGCTCGTGAACGTCATAAAATCGTTTGATTTTGGTCATATACAAAAGTGCCCCTTTTGTTCAATGCCCCTCCACTTTCGAAATGCTTCCGCGGCCTCTGCTACGCTCTCACAACTCCCATCTGCATAGTTTGACAAAAATCTTACTTTCTAGGCTGGTATGTTACAACAATTTGAATCCCTTGACGTGAACAGACCACAAGATGAAAGTGGCGGCTTACTTCGTAACATTAAAACATTTTTCCGACAAAATATTCTCGACGCAACACAACGTATGGTATACTCACTACAAGACGCCAAATTTCTTCAAAACCTCTGATCAATGGTTTTGAAGAGAACCTGGAAAGACGTCCAAAGAACACTTAAGGCGGTTTTCCAGTCCTCGCACGAAGCTCCTCGCAGCTCGCTGCGAGTGCTTGCATCTAATTGCAGTTAACTGCAGTTTAGCAGCATTGTGATTGGATGAAAGTGCTCATGCATCACTCGCTGCGAGGAGCTTCGTGCGAGGACTGGAAATCCGCCTTTAGCCTTTTTAAACTGAAGTGGTTATTTTCTCTGGTGGAATAGGATGTGAAACACGAGGAAATAGAGGTCACCAAGATGACGTGATCTTATAATTTGATTGAAAAAATGCATAAAGACGAACATTACATTAGCTGAAATTGACAATAGACGAGCTCCTTTGGAAAGGAAATTTTACACTTTTATCTGTTAAACTTAATATTCATATGTTTTATAAGTCACCAAGTAATGTGATCAATACGGCGCTTTTATAAGATACGTTTGAATTATGACGGGTTTATCACTTGAACACGCGGTTGCATTTGATTACTAGTAAATGGATATATAGCACACATTCCGAGTGAAGAGCCTTCCAGAGGTCTTTCTATGTTGATGTACTGTACGTTATTTTGAATTTCTGTGTTTTACTCACTGGTTGCCAATGAACAATACTCAATAGTTTTATATATTTAAAAGCTCGCCAAAGTGAGGTCTTGACAAAAACTCACCAAAGTGTGATTAGCTTGTATATGTAAAAAAGAATAAAAACTCAACTGAATTTGTGTGCCTCCTTTTTATTTTATCTAAATAAGTCGTCACCGTACAGCCTCGATCTGATAACCCCCCTGTCAAGCATTATTGGAAAGGAGGTTTAATGATTTAACCCCCAGAATGTATAGCAGGCTTCCCACTCTTTCCCCTAGAGAGCCTGCTCGCAGGCTACCCACTCTTTGGTGGACTCTTTGGTTTCAAGGACTTTTCCAGGACTATTATTAAGGACGTTTTTCAGTAAATTCAAGAACCTATAATATAACAAAAAACCTGTATGCAAAAAACCTCGGATTTTGCTTTCTGAAACATTAGCACTTAATAAAAATCAATAGTCTATAAGTGACGTTCATGTACTATAAGCACAGCTGAAATGAAAGTCCAGGACCTTCAAGGACCATGAGCACTATTTTTCAAGTACTTTCCAGGCCAGGATTTATTTTTTTCAAGGACTTTCAAACATTTTCAAGGCCCGTGGGAACCCTGGTATAGCTAATCATGTGATAACGAGTACAGTCAAGAATTAAGAGTACGAGTGACGTGTCAAAATTCTCAAACGTCATGGGTATGTCATTAAATCCAGAATACAAGCATTATCACATGATTTGCATGATAAAATATCGGATTTACCTCACCTATGTCTTCCAATGCGTTCATTTTGAAATATTATTATCGGAATTTTATTTGATAAAGCTGCTGAAAATGTGAGAAAAGAAGAAAAAATCACATTTTGAATATTTTTACTCAAATTTGTTCCCAAGCGCATTCCAGATTTAAATTAAATCAATACACACTCCTCTCAATCAATCAGAACTTAGTATTTTGTCATGTAAATAATAAAATACATGTCCATTCAGTATGGAGGGGGCGGCGAACTGGACGGCCCGCGGTCAAGTGCTGTCATGATCAAAGTGCCATTTCAGTCAAGAGGGACAATAAATTGAATACATTTCTCATATGAAAGCGTAATCCTATATAATCAAAAGGGAATGTTTTTAACCAAACTCTTTACACGACCTACTATTAATAATTGGGAATAGATAAAGTGCACGATTGATCCAATTTATTCCACATAGTCATAGATATAAAATATTAGATATTTTGTTACATTTATAATAATATTACTTATACACAGAAAATACAAAGTGTAAAAAATATATTGAAATTAGTTGCCATTTCTAGAAGCCAAACGATCCTAAAAATAAAAGCCATGCACCAATAAGTGTACCATACCTTGAAAATTATGAACAATCGTGGTACAGAAAATTGGACAAGTTGACTAAACGACCCAAGAAATAATTTGTTTGCCCAGTACAGCTTTCGAATTATGGTTTCAATGTGAATTCGCAATTTTGGTTTTGTCGTTGGCAAGACGTTTGTTTTGTAAAATTATACGGTATCGTAATGGATATTAACTTTCTTACCTTCTCATTGTACTATTTCATGGCAGTAGAACAGGCACAACCTTCAAGTGTGTGTTTGTGGGGGTGGGGGGGATTGCGATCACCCTTTTTCGCAGCTGAGAGCTGAGCTGCATTGCGAAGAACGCAGTTCAACCTGATCGAGTCAAAGGCTTTCTAAGTGAGCCTCTGGCAGCCACCTTATCACTCATGTCTGATCACGGAGCACAGCTACGATGGAAGGGTCAGTTATAAGAGCTAATCCCAACCCACCCTGTGAACATTTCCTGTGGTAGGAAACCGGACTACCCGAAAAAACCAACGACTTTCGGTAGAACGTTGACTGACTCTTTTCACTAAATGCCATGAGTCCGTAGCGATCTGAGGTGAAAGCGCTTGCGCTGACGACTGCGTCATCGAGAAAGGGTACAATAAAGTCGAACACGTTGGCTATTTTAAACGGAAGCAAAAATATTTAGATAATTTCACTCGTTTATCCTCGCTATTTTGATGTGAAATTTGACTTATACGCCTGTATTCTAGAAGCTCACTCACACTCACACTCAATGAGTGGGGTAAATACTATTTCGCTGACCTCAGAATGACATTTCGTCAAAACGTTTTTCTTCAGGATTGGTTTAGAAACAAATTTGGCATAGGATTAGGTTAAGGTTAGGATTAAGGTTAGGGTTAGAGTTGGTGTTGGGAGTACGGTTAGTGTTAGTAAAACCGTTGCTTTGTTACGTTTTGTCACTTTGAGGCCAGCGAAATAATCTCTTCCAATGAGTGGAGGTTCAATCTGAGTTTCCCTTGAGTGTCAGTGCTGTTTTCAGGGCCGTAGCGAGAGGGTATTGGGGGTGGGGGGTGGGGTGGTGGTTAATCCCCCCCCCCCAACGTTTTTAGAATTAATATATTCGGAAAATCGGGTTGGCCATTCGGAAAATTACGAAAAAATTCCTATTATAACAAAATTTTAGTTGTTAAACAAAGAAAGAAATGGCATTTCAGAGACTCTAAATTTAAAATCGGCGACAGAGTCAATCTTTCGTCTAAATTTGTCCCCAGTATACTAGTCCTGGGTATGAGGTTGGTCAAGCGCATGTTCACATCACATTGCACTGTGTTATGCTTTAAACAACAAACCTCGAGTTGCTTTCTTGAAGTACCAATAGTGTCTCGTGTTTCTAATGCTATATGTTGGTAAAATGAAGAAATTAAATTCATCCTACCAAAAATCGTATAGCAATTTTCTTAACCAATGTTGTGTCTGTTTAAAATAAAGTTGGTTCACCCAATAGACCATTGAAGTCATGCATTAGTGTGTAAAGTATCGTTAGACTACTTGCAGTCGACCTTAAAATGAGCCTAAAACGAACCGCTACTCAGAATGTTGAATAATAAACTCCAGCTGTTTTTAATATGTATATGCAAATTTTTGCTACGGGTCAGTAAAAAAATCTACGTTTGGAGACGGACTCTCGGCCATTTTGCTAATTTGCTTACAACGCCGTAGTCGTTCGTGATCACGTGACCACGAAATTAAATAACAACATAAGGGGTGGACCATTAGATAGCCTAGGAGGAGGAGGGGGTGAGAATTTTCCCTGCAATAATTTTTTTGAAGCTTTGTCGTTGAGTTGAAGCTGTGCAGGAATTTTTTTTAAATGCTTTACCTGCCTTTTTCTCTCTCTACTGATAGAGAAAAAATGGCGGCAGTTATGTAGTCAAGAAACTATATTGGCACAAAATTTCCCTATTGAGCAATCATATGAAAGTTTAATATATTACAAAAATATGTAAATATAATGTATAGATAGTGTTTTTTAATAAAGTTTCAAATAATAAAAAAAACAATTAACTAAACTATAGTGAATATCATGCATATACTGGACATTATTACATTATAATATTCCATAACAAAACTCTATATAACTACTTTATAATTGAAAAAGATGTTTTAGCAGTTACTAGCCACTTGAAAATTTATTCAGAAATGAGTTATTTTCAAAAATGAAATCTTATTCCAAGTTTTAGCAGCACGGGCATGGTAGCTAACACTTCGCTTCAGTGCACTTGTTCTTGGTTTTGCCAGTTTCAGCATGGTAAAATTACTGCCTGCTTAAGACGTTTTGTTGTTTTAGGCTAGCTGGACCACGTGACAAATATGTTATTGTTCATTTTTATTTTTGGTCACGTGACGAGGAAAGGGGGTGCTTTGTGATGAGTGATTAGGAAAACATATGAGTGAGAACATAATATGCCAAGAAAAGATCATATTTCAAAGCGCTAGAGGGCTTCTGAGATCAAGATGGAAATTGAAACAGAAAGCGAACAAACATACGAACCTATTTTGAACGTTGGAGATGAAAATATCGAAGAAAACGAGCGTCGTGAACAGTTTATGATCGAGGGGACGAACGCTTTGTTTATACACCGGCACACCGCGTTTGGATAATTGTATTTTTGCCGTTGTTTTAGTATGTCAGGATACGGTTAAACGTTTGAAGTAATATTGAACAGTATGGTTGGCTCTAATTGTGCTTTGTATGGCTGTCCGACCAGCAGAACGCGTGAATTTGCAATTTTTAAAATCCCTGTTTAGTGTTGTTGGCGCAGCCGATGTAGTCTGCGTAGGAGACTACAGCCGATGTTGAACAAGAAGAGAAATGCTCGCGAAGAATGGCTTCGAATTGTTTTAAAGGACTAGAGAAAAGACGGTAGATCTTCAGAAACAAATAAGATTTTCCTTTGTGAGCGTCATTTGAAGCCATTGTAAATTTTGCATTTTATGCATGCGCTTGTGTGATCAGATGTAAACAAAGAGGGCATTGTATTTGCATATTTACATATCCCATGTATATTAAATATCTATCTTCTGTAGACCCCAAACGAAAGATTTTATAACTGGTAGCGTACCACTGAAAATTTACCTACAATAAACACGAAGTTCCCAAGGCTGAGCGTCGCATTCTCAACGTATAAATACCAGATAAACAACCTACAAGCTTCGAATTACACACGTTAGTTCAGTGGCTGGCGAGGTGGCTGGTGTGTCCAGTATTGAAATTAAAACTGATGGCAGATTTAGATAACATGCAAATATGGAAAGTAGAAGAAATTCAAGATAACCTAGGAGGTCCAAGGCTCAAAAAGCAATTTAAAATGCAAAAAAAATCTTTAAGTTTTTCACTATCATATGAAAATGGTCTATGCTTGTTTAAGTTATTTTGTTCCAAAAGTGGTATATTGCATGTAAATATTTTTTGTGGTCACTCGATTTTCATACCAAGATTGGTGAATTAAAGGCCATGATATTATATTATCTGGTATTCAACAAAAATCAAATCAAATCAGGGTACATCAAAGTTTTAATGGGTTAATTAGGGGCTGATTACATGGAGCATTTTCAACCCTGGGGTTGTCTCCTACAGATCTACAGTTGGGACCTACGAGGCCTGGGCTGAACCCTCGCCCTTGTCTGTAATACAAAATGCTATCAAAATCAAATGCACAATTTCAAAATTTTCAATTCAGGGCCAAGTTCAACCCCGCTTCAGCTAGCAGAGTTATAAATTTCAACCCCTGGTTGGACTTCGCCTTGGGTTGAAAATTTTATCATGTAATCGTTTCAACCCAGGGCTGAAATTATTCATGAGTTACTCAAGCATTTGATGAGGCTGGTTTTTGTTTTCACTTCCGGGAATGTATAGCATTTCAACCCTGGGGTTGAGATTGTCCATGTAATCGCAAAATATTCAACCGAGTTATGTAAACATGGTCGAGTTCAAACCTGTGGTTAAAAGTGCTCCATGTAATCGCCCCTTAGTGTGGTGTGATCCGCCTACTGTGGGGCAGGGCTGTACTGAATGGTGGCAGATTACCATAATCAAATCACTTCTATTTCGACTAGCCAATAAGGTTTAATTAAAAACAATATTATTGTATAATATATGATAAAATTATTGAATTATGGAAACAGTGTTCTGAACTTCTGACAATCATTAACAATTAAGAAGTTTATCAAGTTTTATATGTTATTGCATCCCCTTTCTCAATCACTCAATGCCTTTTCTTTGACTGCCTTTCATTAATTAATGCTATACTTTAAAGATGCGGTACAGTCCGTATGTAAACAAAGGCTTTGTTTACATTTCGGTATCCAAAATATTGAATTTTATTCCACAACTAGTTATATTTTCATGATTCTAGAAATTATCAAGAGACAACAATCAAACAATCAAGAACATAAAATGAAATAAAAACCTAACTAAACTGTTTGTAAATAAAAAGGGGACTCCTGTGTGCACATGCACAGATTGGACTGTACATGCCGCATCTTTAATAGTAATAAAGTCTCTGGTGTAGGAAAATGCTCCGACTGTTAAATAAAGTTTAACTATATTTTCCGTACAGTTTCTGTGCAGAGTTCGAGGGTTGAACTTCACGAAAAATCACAGCATTTTCCAACAATGCCGACATTTTGCTGGTGTAGTGTTTTATAAAAATCCGATCAAATATGCTCAGGAATATATTTGCTACTTTATAGTTCTCACAATTTTATAGCTGCTCACACAAACGAGGAATCAAGCCATATAAAAACATTCTAAAAGTTTATCTTGATTGTTCCTTGGACAGAATGTTGTGTAAAGTGGCCATGCAAAGCATCGAACAAAGCATCAGTAGAGGAAACAGTAGCCAAACTGACCTGAATCGGTGTAATATAATCAAAACACGTCCTGTAATAGTCAACGCAGCACGAGTTTTGTCTCTCCGTTTACTTTATAGACTTGCACACTATCTCTCACTGACTAAAAGGAAAAACCCTCTCGCCATCAATTTCTTGTATAGCTTCGGTGAATTCAGCGTCTGTTTCGTCTAACTGTATTTCCGTTAGAGCAACAGACACATCAAAGTTGTATAAATCCTCTGCGGTTGCATCGTCGAGTTGCGAAAAATGTCTTCGCCCTTCGTCCTCTTATGCCTCGATCATAAACTGTTCGCGACGCTCGCTTTCTTCGATATTTTCATCTCCAACGTTCAAAATAGGTTCGTATGTTTGTTCGCTTTCTGTTTCAATTTCCACCTTGATCTCAGAAGCCCTGTAGCGTTTTGAAATATGATCTTTTGTTGGCATATTATGTTCTCGCCCATATGTTTTCCTAATCACTCATCACAAAACACCCCCTTTCCTCGTCACGTGACACAAATAAAAGTGGTTCTCGACATAATTTGCCGCTCCCTTTGAAGTTTGCCGGCTAGCCTAACCATCTAATTCTATTAACCGTGTTTTAACTCTATTAATAGACTCGCCGCCAATTTTAATTGCCGGATCTGCATTAATCCACTCAGATTATGACGAGAGCCAACATCATATATTCTGTTTTAGAATCGTTAAAAGTTAATTTTTTGCCACTAACCATCGATAGATATTTCGCGCGAAACGACTTTTTCTTGTGATCGATCGGTTGGAACTAATTAGTGCCCATTCAACTCTAAGCCTGTCGCTTCGCGCGAAAAAATCACCAAGTGGAAAATCGGCTTTAACAATAGAAAAGTTTATTTGCTCGAAAAAAATCGCTAGTGGAAAACGGACTTAACACGTGCATGTATCTTGTAAATCTTGCTACAAGTATATAGACAAACAATTTTTATCAGGCTCCACCTTTCCACCACGCATGCGGGGAATTTATGGGCAAAAATGCAAATTTGTTTGGCCGGCTCCTATTCGTCAGGGAAGGTCAGGCTGTAACTATTCATGTCTCGCTGTTTATGAGATTGAAGAGTGCCCCCTCCCCAATAAAAAAGGTATATCCTGCAGTTCTTTGTCACAACAAATAAAGAAAGTCTTAATAAAAGTTATGTTTTTGAACTTACTTGTTTATTTTTGTGTATATGTATAAATATCAGCCTCGTACCCAGGCTATTTCCTCTCGTGCTCTGGTGCTACGGATGGTTAAAGATCACAAAAATAGATATGTTTAGAGAGTTTTTACTCAAAATTCAAGATGGGTGATTTGAATCAGAAATTTACCAATATTGTTGAATACTTTCCATATCATGCGATTTTACTTTGCATCAGTCATTCAGAAATGAACTGCCCAAAGGTTTGAATGAATCAGGAGGAACAAGCTGATGTGATGCAGCAAATGTTTGTAAGTCTTCACACGTGTGATAGAACTTTTAGACTAATTCCCACATTGGAGAGCAAAATCAAACTTTTCTGACCGTTGGCTTACAACCCAGGTAGCCAGGTTAATTGAAAGATTGCAATATAGCTTTACCAGTATATCACAGCTTGGTAATAGTGGTTTGGGGGAGCGCACCTTCGTTATTATAAAAAAAATACTTACCTTACTAAACTGTGGCCATTCAGTATCGTGACGATACGACTGCGCACATGCATGAAATAATTACATTAGCTATTGAAGCTTTATGCCATTTCACTTTTGTGTGTGACTATAAGTTAGGAATATCAGAACATTGTAACGCGAAGAATTTGATAATTTTGACATATTTCTGATTCAAGTCCGCCATCTTGAATTTTAAGGAAAAACTCTCTAAACGTAAGTATTTTTCTAATTCTTGACTTGAAATCACAATTTTTATTCAAACATACACAATACTAAACAAGTAAGTTCAAAAACATACCTCTTGTTGAGACTTTCTTTACTTACGGTGACAAAGAACACGATATACCATCTTTTATGGGTGGCCACTTTTTAATGTCTAGCCCCTTATACGTTTATCGTTGGTTTATATGCTGCGTCAATATAGATGTACTGAAATGAGGAATACTGCTATGTACAATATAGAATTTGCCATTTTCAATTAGACTTATTAGTAAAGCATTCGTTACTGCATCCACTGTCAGGGCTGTGTGGGCGAGACCGATCGCGAGGGCTTCCCGATCTGGATCTGCTTTCTCTGGCCCTGTTATCTGTTATCTCGCTTGAATCTAAAAATTTAGGACATTAGATTTTTATTGTAAAGAACCCAACAAACTGTGCCTGTTAGATTATGGAGAGCGTGAAAAGGAAAGCGAAGAAGGTACGTTGCATTAAACTAATTATATAATAATATTCAGTCAGCTTACTTTAATATTATATACCGTATTTACTCGATTGAACGCCGCCCCCGAATGAGCGCCGCATCTGAAGCTCTGAAAATTTAAAGAGCGGCGCGGCGCTCAAACGAGTAAATACGGTATTGTTTGAAATTGTTCTACGATGGTTGCATATATATTACGATCTGCGCGAATTCAAATACCGCGCAAATTAAATATACAAGTTAGGTATGTGACTGCAGACTGTAACTATATAACAGTATTATAAATATAAGAGGCAAATGGTGTTAGAAAATGGTTGAAATAAACTTGAGGCATTATAAACTTGAGGTTTATATTATAAACTTGCGTGCAACGATGGCAATTTTTTTGCCGTAAGGGTAGTGGAAATTTTGAAAGAATTGGTATAGTCGTCTGAAGAAACTTTGAGACATATATCTTATTCATACCTTCTGACATGGTATAATCCAAGTTTACTAATCCAGAAGTAATACTGTTAGTTCGTTCCGAAAATGAAGAACTTGAATCTTAAAAATAAAAAGAATAATAAATGTATAATACACATGACCTGCATGTATATGTATTTACTGGTTGGAAGGTCGGGACTGAAAAATATTTTCCCAAGGTCTCAGAAACGAAAATATTTTTTCCAGATGCGGACCGACTTTAATGGCAAATGACGTCTTCACTTAATTAAATTCCTAAAAAAATCCAGGGTTACAAACTATATTTGAGATCAGTGGTGTTTATTACATAATTCGTTGTGTATATATTTTAAACAACAGGTCCAATTCGTGAGCTTCCAATACCTTCTGACGTGCTATAATTCAAATTTATTTGACCAGGAGCAGTACTAGAAGTTCCTTCCGCAAATAGAAAATTTGAATCTTAAAAACAAAAATAATAATTAATACATATATGTTATTTAACGGCTGCAGGGAGGTCCGTACTGAGAAATATTTTCCAAGATCTTAGAAGCGGCTCGAGACCGAAGGACGAGGAAAAATATTTTTTCAGTACGGACCGACATACGTGTTTAATTAAATTCCTAAAAACTTCCAGCGTTGCACACTGTATTTGAGATCAGTGGTGTTTGTTACTTAATTTGTTGCGTATAGCCATATATTTTAACATATGATCGATTTGTAATCTACAGGTTTTACCACAAGTCCGAAACACCTTTAGTTAGCTATAGTAGCCTACCTTCTGAAGTAGTATACTGATGCAAATTTAATTGTCCAGGAGTAGCACTATTCGTTCCTTGAAACAAAATAATAATGAACGCATGATACAAAAATATAATCCCCACGTTTAAGATCATACATATTTATTCTATTACATGAAGAAATATTAAAACTGTATGTGTCTGACTTTTTTTAACCAAAATACATAATACACTATGAAATATACTTTGTTAACATTGTACACTTGGGGCACAATATGATACAATTTCCTGAATTATATAAAAGATATTTTGAAAACGTTTTAGAGATTTTAACCAAAAAAATGCTTATGTCGAAACGTGGTAAGAGTGCACAGTCGTCTGCAAACGTTCTCAATGTTTGCACACAGCTACACGTCAAATCATGTGTGGAATTCATATGTGAAATTCTGAATTTTCACATGTCTAGCAGGTTTTATTATTGAAATTTCTCCTTTAGTTAAATTTACTTAATTATTGTTTGAGTCGGTTTTCTTTCATGTACCAAGGTGATTATTTTTAATAATCACCTTGAATATCAATTAGCTGAAAAGTTGAAAGAAAATTCAGAAAATCGTCGTTCGAAAATCCTCGAAAGTCGGGATTTATGCATGTCAGATAATGCCCTCGGACGCTGCGCGTCCTCGGGTGATTATCTGACATAAATCCCTCCTTCTCGGTGTTTATCCTATACATATATACATGAATAGGCTACAAAACAAAGGGCTCGTTGATAGAATTATATAGGAAAAGACGCTCTTGTTTCGGCACATAATATCTTATTGAACGCAATAAACCTATTCTCTGCATGGGCAAGCGTTTTGCACACAACATCAATTTGTTAATTGAAACTTAAACCCTGGTTGAGTAGTACACCAAGTAATTTATACGAGGGTACTTGTTCAAGTTTAGTTTCATTACTAAGTCTAATATCTTTATCAGAAAAATGAGCATGATTTGTTTTTTCGCATTAAGGTGTATAAACAATTTTCTTTGGATCAATTTTCAACAAGGAGTGCACTGTCGTTGCAGAGGACCTTTTTAGGGACCGATCATAAAGTAAAAGGGGGGGGGGGGGGCTAGAAAAATCATACATTTGGTGTCTGCACTTTTGGTAGCCCGCCCCTTAATAGCTGCACGAAAATTTGTGGCCCATCCTTAAATTGGTGCTGAAAAATTATGACCCACCCTTTCAGAAACGCCAAAGATACCAGCGTTCTATTTTTCTGTTGCCAAATAATTCTGTGTTACAATACTAATAGTTCCAGTCGGCAAGTCTGTATCACTGCAGCTACCAGCATATATATGCATGGTTTAATTAATAAGTATACATCATAGGGCAGCAGATCAGGCTGTAACTAGGACTCTGAGACAACCGAGTCGACCACTCAAGGTGCGAGCTTCTAGAGGGGTCTGGGAGAATTCCCCCCCTCCCCCCCAGAAAATTTTGGATTTCTTGAAGCTCAGATAAGCTATTTCCTGCATTTTGAGGAGTTTTCTAACACGAAATTAACCTTATAAACAGTGACACAATTACTGCAATTTCACATCTCCCAAATGCAATCCAGTCCCAATAAGGCAACATGGTGTGATGATGCGGTAATTAAAATGTGTGTGGTATAGTATTATCATTCACCACACTTCAAATTCTACAGTACTGTATTACATGTATTGGGGTACTTGAAATTGACGCATTCGTCTTCTCAGTGTCGCTGAAGAGCAAGATCGGGTGGGTCTCTTTGGAGTATCTTTGCTCGGAAAAACTAAACTAAAATTTCGTCCTAAAATGCCATTTCATGCCTTGTTCCACAAGCAAATTATTTCAGTCATGGTTTAGGTTTCTGGCGATGTTTAAATTTCAGTCCCCACATTCTGGCCTACCGAGTCAACTGATTTGGTGGACTCATAGCTAGTTACAGACCTGTAAATGATGGTAAAATTCAGAAATGTTAACAACTTAACATTGTTTTCTCACTTTGATACATAATTGCTGGTTGACCACCTACTGCAGGTAGTTCTTGGGGACCTCACTGGGAATTGCCGACTGTGGAGGGACCAGCAAGAGGGCTAGGGGCATGTCTTCCCCAGTCTATATGTTAAAAGAGGCCGTGGATTAAATACAGAAAGGTCTTTCTTTCCATGGAACTTGCCATGCATACTGCACTATGCATGAGACCTTTAGTTTGACATTTACAGCTAACGCCAAACCGCTAACGAGGATTGTGATTTAACTACACTGTTGTAGAAATTACACTAATTTTGTTACATAATAAACATTCTACACAATATTCGTGACATTTAGCAATAATGGTTATCAGAAAATTAGTTAGCTACTACTAACGTATTAGCCAAGACAGTAAATTCAGCTTTTAAGTTTGAGGTTTGCGGATAAATTTTACACATGGATCCTGATACATTTTATTTTTATAATATGAATTTTAATACACATGCCCTTAAAAAAATTTCCGCATATTTTTACATGGCCCACCCTTATGATTGCACTTAACTTTCGATGACCCACCCCTTCAACCTTGCTCAAAAATAGTAACCCCCCCCTATTTTTCCCAGCCCACCCCCCTTTTACTTTATGACCAGTCGCTTAGCATTTTGGCTTCTGATCATAACGCGGCGGTCTACTAAGGGTAGTTTTTTAATCCGCAAAAATATCCACAATAGTTGGCCAAGATATAATAGCTTCGGGAAAGTCATTAATAAATATAATAAGAGACAGAGGGCGAGCACTTGATCCCTACGGTACTCCATCTCCCTGGATATTTCTTATTACAGTAAGTTGCTTTCGCGATGTAAGATATAATTGAATCAACTGTAGACTACTGTCAACACATGGTGATCATTCAGATCAAATGTCTTCTTAAATCAGCGCAAATAAAACCATTTATACATACAGTTGTTCAAATTAGTAAGCACTCTTCCAACAACGTTAATAAGTGCCGTTTCGGTGGAATGGTGTTTACGAAAGCCAGATTGTAGATTGCAGAGCAGGTTGTCATTTCTGAGAAAATCGTACAAAGTATTATGTATTGCAGGTGACGTTCAATGACTTTTGATAATACTGGTAACAGAGAATTGACAGAAATGGGCCGGTAATTGTTTTTGTCTGATTTGCTGTTACACTTATAGAGAGGTGTGACCCTTGCCTCTTTCCATACTGAAGGGAAGGTGCCTCTAGTGATACACAAATTAATCAGTTTGATAAGGAAGGGAAGGATTGCAGGTAACAGCCTCCTCTAGTAGTCGAGCACTCAAAGCATGCATCTGCTCCAGTCGTCCAACTTGTAGGAATATCTTCTATAAGCTTTTGGTCTGCTTAGTAGTTATTAGTAAAAAACTAAATTTATGGTCAGGGTGTTTGCGGTTTCTAACATATTTGGCAACAGTGTAGGAATCAAACAGACTCTCACTCTGATCTGCATCGGCCATTGTCTTGGCTAAATTCGAGAAGTGTGAGTTAAAAAGTTCAGGAATCTGGCCGGGTCATGAATAATTTATCCATTTTCTTCCAAGAAAGGTATTTCAACGGAATCCTGTTTGTTTCCCACCCTTGGCCCCCACCAAGGTTTGATCCCCTAGGAACCCCCACAACGTATTTTCCGAGTAGACGATGTTGCATTGTTTACCCTGCACTATTGCGTTCTATTACTCAAATAAGATTTAAACCAGTCTAAGGCCTTGTTTTGAATTCCATAGATAGATTATTTATAACTTGGAAGAATTCCGTGATCAACCGTATCAAATGTTTTACATAACTCCAGAAAAAGTACTACGTTTATCATCCCGGTGTCCCAGGAATTTCGCCGCCCCAGGAGATTCATCCTCCCGGGAAGCAAAATTCCTAGGAGATTCGCCCCCCGATCAGGAGATCCCCCCCCCCCCTTAAGAAACTTCGCATTTCCTTTAGGAATTTCCGATTTCGTCCTGCGTAAAAATTTCGCTTTACAAACGGTTTGCATGGGACAATTATTACATCACTTGAGTCATTTGAAATAGTTACCACGAGCATCAATTCAAAGTTGTGAAGAATACAAATTTGCGTGTATAAAAAAAGACTTATGACACTTCACAACACATCCATGCATTTTTTGTTAATCATTAAACTCATTGTTAAAAAGTAATTAAACTAATTATATAATAATATCCAGCCAGCTTACTTTAATATTATATATTGTTTGAAATTGTTCTACGATGGTTGTATATATATTACGATCTGCGCGAATTCAAATACCGCGCGAATTTAAATATACAAGTTAGGTATGTGACTGCAGACTGTAACTATATAACAGTATTATAAATATAAGGGGCAAATGGTGTTTGAAAATGGTTAAAATAAACTTGAGGCATTACAAGATCAAACTAGAGGGCACTCAGAGACTGCATACCTCCGCCCACATTAAATTTCGGTCGTGTGAAATGCAACTAAGACAATTAGGGCTGAAGCTTAATGAGGTTTATCATCTCATTGTCTTCTTAGTACTGCGTGCATACATTACACACGTCCTAATTACGCATTCAGTGAGTTTTTTATAATTGACCGGGAAAAGCAAGACAAAATTTTGTTCATTTCTCGTTCAATTTTTAACCAAATTCAACCAAATTTTAATCAGTTCTTCCTTAGCCGATGGGAAATGCATTCAAAAAATTTCGTATGAATATGTTTGGTATTTCTTGAGTTATCGTGCTCACAGACAAACACACACACATACACACACACATACACACACACACACATACAAACCAGATGATTACATAACCTCCTGGCGGAGGTAATTACCCAAAAAATATTACATTATGGGTATATACAGAAATAGGCAATTTTAGATGGTACTACAATGATGAATAAAATGGCCTGATGATGGTCATAAGATTATGCTAACGAATGATCATCTAATATTAAATATCAATTTCATTTGAGGTGATGGTAGACATACTACTCTGAGTGTGTGTGTACATGCAAGGGCAAGCTAAAACGTCTGCTTGACCGCGGTGGGAATAATCCAACATACTAACTGAGCTACGGCTCTGCCAACCTCTGAGCTACGAGGTCAAGTCGGTTCGAGTAAGTGACATTTCGTAACTTATTCTGGTTCCTTAATTAATTCGATACCATATAGTATATGTCCTATAATGACGAACGTGATGCTTGTGGTGTATTCCCACCGCGGACAAGCAAACTTTCCAGTTTGCTCACTGTGGACTCAGAGTAACATCACCTATACAGGACTGGAATTGTATCGCGGCACTCGCCGTAGTTGGAGAGTAAAATGCCGTGGATCACTGCATGCATACGTGCAACGATGGCAATTTTTTTGCCGTAAGCGTAGTGGAAATTTTGAAAGAATTGGTATAGTCGTCTGAAGAAACTTTGAGACATATATCTTATTCATACCTTCTGACATGGTATAATCCAAGTTTACTAATCCAGAAGTAATAGTGTTAGTTCGTTCCGAAAATGAAGAACTTGAATCTTAAAAATAAAAAGAATAATAAATGTATAATACACATGACCTGCATGTATATGTATTTACTGGTTGGAAGGTCGGGACTGAAAAATATTTTCCCAAGGTCTCAGAAACGAAAATATTTTTTAGATGCGGACCGACTTTAATGGTAAATGACGTCTTCACTTAATTGAATTCCTAAAAAAATCCAGGGTTACAAACTATATTTGAGATCAGTGGTGTTTATTACATAATTCGTTGTGTATATATTTTAAACAACAGGTCCAATTCGTGAGCTTCCAATACCTTCTGACGTGCTATAATTCAAATTTATTGGACCAGGAGCAGTACTAGAAGTTCCTTCCGCAAATGGAAAATTTGAATCTTAAAAACAAAAATAATAATTAATACATATATGTTATTTAACGGCTGCAGGGAGGTCCGTACTGAGAAATATTTTCCAAGATCTTAGAAGCGGCTCGAGACCGAAGGACGAGGAAAAATATTTTTTCATTACGGACCGACATACGTGTTTAATTAAATTCCTAAAAACTTCCAGCGTTGCACACTGTATTTGAGATCAGTGGTGTTTGTTACTTAATTTGTTGCGTATAGCCATATATTTTAACATATGATCGATTTGTAATCTACGGGTTTTACCACAAGTCCGATACCGATAGCTATAGTGGTCTACATTCTGAAGTAATATACTGATGCAAATTTACTTGTCCAGGAGTAGCACTATAAATAATGATGAACGCATAATACAACTAGAGGGCACTCAGAGACTGCATACCTCCGCCTACGCGCAAAATATTGAAGTAATCTATTGTTATTAGAATTTGAATGGCTGGTGCATATATTATGCACGCCCTAATTACGCATTCAGTATAAAGTTTTATTTAATTGACCAGGAAAAGCAAGACAAACTTTTGTTATTTCTCATTCAATTTTTAACCAAATTCAACCAAATTTTAATCAGTTCTTCCTTAGCCGATGGGAAATGCACTCACAAAATTTCGTACGGATATGTTTCGTATTTCTTGAGTTATCGTGCTCACAGACAAACACACACACATACACACACACACACATACACACACACACACATACAAACCCAGATGATTACATAACCTCCTGGCGGAGGTAACAAACCCAGATGATTACATAACCTCCTGGCGGAGGTAATGAAACGGAGCTGCAATATTGTGTCAGTATATATATAGTGTTATCTTATAATGTATATAGTCTACAACGCAGCCAAATTTCATTTGCAGTACACTACTTATGCGGAGGAAAATAGTTACTTAGTTTTGTTTCCCTATAGAGCCCCAGGCTTTATACCGTTTATATACCGGTTGCTTTCCGTACCGACGTGAAAAAACACATATCCGTTCCTCAGAGGCTTTATTGCAACGGAGAGATGTAGTTTCACTTAGCCTCTGAAAGTTGTACATTCCGTATCAGATGTATAGGTGCTTTCCCGCGCGGCCTTAAATCTTAAAGTTTCCCTGGAAACATTGAAACACGAGCGAAAACAAAACTAAACTAGAAGGCACTCAGAGACTGCATACCTCCGCCCGTTACTCGGAAGTGAAAGGCAACCTTGGAATTTCCTAAGAAATCCACTTTACAATTCTTAAGCATAAAAGATTTCAGGCCCCCGCGAATTGAAATCGAATTGCTAATAGAACATATTACTGTTGTTGTACTTTACAGTACTTGTAAAATAAAAACTTATTAAGTGTCATTAAATAAATGCATAAATTTTGCTTTATGCACTCGCGCGTGCAGTAATTTTCACAGTTGTGCTATTTTAAATTCCCAGGCAGCTAAAATCTTTTGTCTTTAAAACAATGTCGATTTCTTGGGAAATTTCGAGGTTGCGTTCTTTTTATACACCCTGTATTGAAGTAATCTAATGTTGTTAGAATTTGAATGGACTGGCACTTTGCTGAACGTAATAATGCGTAACTCCGTAAGCCTTGTTTTAGACATTGAATTTCGGTCGCGTGAAATGCAACTAAGACAATAGATAATGAAGGCCGAAGCTTAATGAGGTTTATCATCTCGTTATTGTCTTAGCACTGAGTGCATAAATTATACACGTCCTAATTACGCATTCAGTAATATTTTTTGTTAATTGACCGGGAAAAGCAAGACAAAATTTTGTTCATTTCTCGTTCAATTTTTAACCAAATTCAACCAAATTTTAATCAGTTCTTCCTTAGCCGATTGGAAATGCATTCAAAAAATTTCGTACGGATATGTTTGGTATTTCTTGAGTTATCGTGCTCACAGACAAACACACACACATACACACACACACACACACACATACACACGCACACACACACATACAAACCCAGATGATTACATAACCTCCTGGCGGAGGTAATAATGAGATGATAAACCTCATTAAGCTTCGGCCTTCATTATCTATTGTCTTAGTTGCATTTCACGCGACCGAAATTCAATGTCTAAAACAAGGCTTACGGAGTTACGCATTATTACGTTCAGCAAAGTGCCAGTCCATTAAAATTCTAACAACATTAGATTACTTCAATACAGGGTGTATAAAAGAACGCAACCTCGGAATTTCCCAAGAAATCGACATTGTTTTAAAGACAAAAGATTTTAGCTGCCTGGGAATTTAAAATAGCACAACTGTGAAAATTACTGCACGCGCGAGTGCATAAAGCAAAATTTATGCATTTATTTAATGACACTTAATAAGTTTTTATTTTACAAGTACTGTACAGTACAACAACAGTAATATGTTTTATTAGCAATTCGATTTCAATTCGCGGGGGCCTGAAATCTTTTATGCTTAAGAATTATAAAGTGGATTTCTTAGGAAATTCCAAGGTTGCGTTTCACTTCCGAGTAACGGGCGGAGGTATGCAGTCTCTGAGTGCCCTCTAGT